GTTTTAGCTTAGGGTAGCAGCTCAACAAATCATCATGTCTCTCTGTTAGTCCGTTAGTCTGTTAGTTAGTAACAAACACTGACATTGTCTATTGGTCCAACATATTTTGACCGATTTCAACCAAACCTTAAAAGTCAAAAGTATCAGGAGCCTAGCCCCAGCAACATGTCACATGACCAACTTGGGTCAAAGGTTATCCTGGGGTCCAGGACAAAATTGGTCAAATTTCAAAGGAGCTCAAATGGCAAAAGTAGTCATCAACATGTTGGCCTTGGTCAAACATTAAAAATGACTTCGACATCAGACCTAAAGCTATGGGGCCAAAGATTAAAATCAGGCAAACACAAATGTGTTGGCCTGAAGCTTCTGAGATCCGTTCAAGCTTGTTCCACTGCAAAACTTTTTCAAAAAAGTGCCTTTGAAACAGATTTTGAGGTTTTTATTTGATGAAGGCGTACGACGCTTCACGTTTTTAAACATTTCTGTGAAAGTGCCAAGTCATGAGCAATACAGTGATGTCATGAGCTGGATCTTCAGTGTCACTGCTGATTGGGAACAAAAAGTTACAAAAAAGTTTTGTTCAAGGTTGATGTGACTATTTTGTTCATTTAGCATGAGGCACAGAGTCAGTGCGATACTTTAATGCACAAACTGCTATGTGTACTTAATGCAAAGAAGCTAAAGTTCATAAATTATTTAGAAAATCCCAAAGCTGTAAATGTTACATCCTAAAGCGATATCACAGCAATATTAGAAATAATGATTAAAGTGTACATGGAACAAGTGCACTGGAAGAAAAAAAGATTACAAGTATCTAGTTGTCTACCATTACTTTAATATCGACACGAGGCTAGGATATTTGCATGTTTTTTTGTGAAATTCATCCAATGGCCTTTAAATTATGCAAATAATTATGAAATCCTAACCATGGAGCACAATATGAACTCTCAAAGAGCACAAACTGTATGATTATCGTTATCGAGGGTTTAGTGCTTAGAGAGCAAACTCACCGCAAATCCAAAATATCTTGGGAGGTTTTGGATCTCAATCTTGAAGATCTCTGAGGTGAAATGCTGTTGCGTCAGATAGTGATAAGGATCTGTTTTGGCAGCGCCAGTCACTGGTACGTCAGAGGTGCTGGTGGAAATGTGGGTCAAGACCTGATGGACAAAAAGGAACAAATTAAAAGACCAACTCCTACCGGAAGAAAATAAGTTTACTTTGATTTTTTTAAGCATGAGATATTTGTAAGTTTAATTATGAGTTTCCAAGTGAGATACTGCACAACAAAAACAGTTCACAATAACAACCAGATTGATCAATAAATTTCAAATTTTGAATAAGGAGCATTCCAAAGTTGTCTTAATAATACATGTAGTCTCAACACTGTAAATTTTAATTGAAAAATCAATGCTACAAAATATGAATGTATTTGTAAAGTTAGAGATAAACCTGTACAAATTTAAATTTGGTTGGTTCCCCAAAATGACCAATTTCTACAGTTCATGTAAGCTGGTATTTTTTTTTGTATGCGTAATTAAAAACTACCAAATACATATATGTACAAGTAATGCTTTGTTCAATCACCAGTCTGGTATTTGAGCTCGGGGTATGGTTCTCTGATGCTTGATACTTTGTTGATGCCTCATAATATTTTGATATTTTTATTTCCCTTTTTGTAATGGCTTTGTATTAATCAATCAAAGAATGAATGGCTTTGTAAACTTGGATTCACAAGGCCGCGGGCTGACGGCTCTGGTCAAGTCCGTAGCTCGGCACCTCGGGTCAAGGCATGGTCGATGACTCGGGCCAGTCCGTAGGACGACACCCTGGCGCAAGGCCGTGGGCCGACGACTCGAGCAAGTCCGTGGGACGACACCCCGGCGAAAGGCCGTGAGCCGATGGACGACTCGGGCCCGTTCCGAGGGCCGGCACCTCGGGGGTTTGCCGTGGGCCGCCGACTCGGGCCAATTCCGTGGGCCGCCACTAACTCGGAGCATGGCCGTGGGCTAAAGACTCAGGCCAATTCCGTGGGTCCGCACCATTGGGTCAAGGCCTTGGGGTCATCAACTCGGGTCAAGTGTTCAAGTGTTCAAGTTGCACAAGGCCGCGGGTTGACGGCTCTGGTCAAGTCCGTAGCTTGGCACCTCGGGTCAAGGCATGGTCGATGACTCGGGCCAGTCCATAGGACGACACCCCGGCGCAAGGCCGTGGGCCGCCACCTCCACGGAGCATGGCCGTTGGCTAAAGACTCAGGCCAATTCAGTGGGTCCACACCATTGGGTCAAGGCCTCGGGGTCATCAACTCGGGTCAAGTGTTCAAGTCTTCAAGTTGTAAACTTGGATTCATTCATCAGAATTTGACAAGTTTGACAGTTCAACAAGGTGCAAATTTTTACGAAATTGAAACAATGAAACCGTCTTGCAGCAAATTAAGTCATTTGGCCAAAAGTATCAAGTTTTGCAACTGGGCAATTCCACGAAAAAAGAGGAAACTGTATGAAATCTTCCGAACTACAAGCATCACAACGTCAAACGTGGCGTCAAATTAAAAGGTGCATATCAAGATCTTTCATTTGAGTGGTGTGCCGATGAGATGAACTGTAGTGAGTGATTTTTGGACAAAAAACTGGATTTTTGGTGGTCATTTTGGCACTTTGTTTTAACATGCAAAATGTGACTGTTATTGAGAGTTTTTGTGCTTAAGGCAGAGACAAAGGTTCATATATTATAAGAACAGAGTTTCATTACGTTGCAGTTCATCAAACTCAGATTTTATGCCGTGTTAGAAACCATGAAGATGAAGTAACATGAGTGACATAACCTGAGTGATGGTACCTCCCTGAAATCTAATGTCCCTAACTTCTAAAACACACACTTATTTGATTTGCGAAATGATAGTATGCGCATGCGTACAAATGCAAGTACCGTACCCCCCGCGACGCGCTCCGAGCGAACCGAAAATCAACAATCAACCATAATGCCTGCACATTTCAAGTGTCAGGTTGGCTCACTGCGGAAAAGGCATATATTCTTCATAATTTTGGCCAAAAAACCAACAGAATCCAGCGATGTTTGCTCTACGCACATTACGTTAGTATGTCATGAGGTACAAAACGGAGTTTAGGGGCAAACTGTGAAGCAGTTCTGTGAAAAATGTCTGTGTTTTGATGGACATTTTTGTACTTACAATCTTGCGGAGTTCTGTGTCTATGAGGCTCAGCTCACGCGGAGCATCATAGTTCTAGGAGTACAAAAGTCAGATTTGAACAGAACTCGTAAAAATAGAGGTGTCCTACAGATAAGGATTACCATATGTTCTCAATGTCACCAACTAGTTGGGGTGGTCGGAAAAAAATTCCATACTGGGCCACCACTCAGAGCTCCTGCACAAAGTCTATGGGCCATGACAGAACACATATTACAGTCGTTTTCCTAGTTCCAGATAGCAAACATCCTTTAGGCTGCTTTCAGCTCAATTACTCCACGAATTCAAGTGACAGTGGTTCAATAGTTTACCTTGAGTGATGGAGATACGACATTAATAATTTTCCGAATTTAGGCTGTTTTTATTTTGGCTTTACGACGTCAAAAGTACTAATGTCACTTTTCCTAGTTCCAGATTGGTTCAATCTGTTCCGAATGGATCCAAAAATCCTTTGCGTTTAAAAAATAGAATCACACGAATGGTTCTGAAAAGAACCAGAGGTATCACTCGACATTCCGGTCAGTATGCTCTGACCATCTTCAGGAGAGTGCCTAAACTCTAAGAAAGTGAATACTTAAGTAGCAAAAGGTGAAATCAATGAAGTGTGAAGTTGCATCCTGTGAGGATGCCAAGTAGAGGGGATCCTAGAGCAAGCTTGGTGCCCACTGGAGTGGGACAGTAGGGTTGCGGTGTCAGTAGAGGGAGGACCTAGGGTATAGGAGACCCTTCAGTCTTATGGTAGCTGAGGACCTAGGGTATAGGAGACCCATCAGTCTAAGTCGGAACGTCGAGTTTATACCTCTGGTTCTTTTCAGAACCATTCTCCTAGTTGAGAAATTATTCGCACATGGTGTTTCCGCAAACCTTTCATTACTTAATATCTCCACCTCAAATTTTACTTAAGAATCACACAAGCGAATCAATTTTTTTCAGCCAGAACTTACCAAATTAAGCATATTTTCTGATAAAGTATTATTTCATTTTCCCAAAATAGTTCATTCAAGAGAATTCCACCAAATTTAACAAAGAGAAAAACGTAAATGATTTTGAAACGTTTGTCTGCAGCGCAACGGCACGAACTCACGCACAGACCGAATTTATTTTGACACAGCACACAGAATACGTCACACAAAATCCATTAATGCGCATGTAGTTGGGTCATAAGGGACGAACAGGTACACACGTAAACATTCGATGGAAGAGTTTATACGACTTTAGTGTATAAACAAAATATTCAAAATCACACAGTTCGAGTGATGTACCGAGGAGAACATTTTTTGTCGGTTCGCTGCAGCAGCTCCCACGAGTTTCTACAAACCATCCAAACAAGTCAAAGTGCAAGTCGAAAATCTGGCAGAAATTACTCTTCTTAAGATTTTATCGAAAAGATCTTCGTTTATCAAGAAGCTTACATTTACCTTTTTAAAATGCACTTCGTCAGAAAAAAATATTGGACTCCAATTTGGAGACTAATCCAAAAAAAGGTAGGTTTTTATTTGAAGCTATCTGGAACTACTGTAGGAAAAATCCAGAATTTTTGCACTCCTTAATAGTGTTTTTCCATCAGATTTACAACTTTTGGTTCTTTTCAGGTCATATTAGTGGCCCAGTATGGACATTTTTCCTTTTTTAACTAAGCATCTCAAACTTTTCACGAACACACACGACGAAACATCATAACAAGTTACGCTATAAACGCAGTGCGTCTACGGCTACTTCTGCAGTACATTTCACTAAATAAAATAATGCAGATTTCACCAATAGCTATTAAAAACAACCAAATTAATGTTACCTTTAATGAAAACAAACTTGTAGTACTGATACTGACGTAATACTAATAAATAAGAAAGTTTTCAGCCACTCAGACCAGAGTCAGAAGAATACGGGTAGCGGCAGATTTACACGAGTCGCGTGTTTATGTTGTTGTTGAATGCTGCCCTCATGTGTCGCTCGATTGGCAGCATGCAAGCTGTTTCGAAACCTCGGTCTATAGGGTGCATACCTGCAAATAAACTCCCATAGACACTAGTGCTAAATGCCCATACTTCAAAATTCTTTTAAAAATACTCAAAACTCTCACAGGTATTCAAGCTGCACAGAAAAATGATGATCAATGTGTCATCTTTCATTTTCTTTTCAATTTATGGTGGGTTGACCATTGACTTTTCGAGATATTTTCACGCAAAGAAGACGACCCCTATTTTCCCCAAAGCGGAAAAGTAGCCATCTTGAAAAACGATCCCTCCACAACATGGCAAAATAGCGCCACTTTCGAGCCCAATAGCATCCAAAATGCTCAGAATTGAAAGCCCCAAGTCCGGGCCAGAGGTTCACTACCATATCTCTTCAATTCCCCAATTTTACGGCGCTCAGAACTCTCTAATATAGAATAACTCTCTAATATAGAATATTTTGAGGGTATAACTTTTATTCATGAGCTTGGCGGATCGATTTACCGGTATGCACCCTTCATCGCAGACTCGCAGATTCATCATTGATCTGGCATCCGTCTTTTTTTTTTTACGAGACGCATACGTCTCCCGTAACGGAAGCCTAATAACACCTATTGTCTCTTCTTATTAGACAACTCACGCTTTCTGAGTAGCTGTGTGGAAATTTCATAATCTTCAAATTATTATAACAGACGAAGCCGTAGCTGGCTTCGAATTTTGGAAAAACCCTTTAAACCACTTTTTTTCCTGGAGGGCGCTGTTTACGCTGAAAACTAGTTTTTCCTCTTACTTAAGGGGAAGATACAACATTTGCAAACATCAAAAAATGAAATGATAAAATTATCACGAAATACCTTACTGGATTGTTAAGGAATGACAGTCTGAAGCATCCTGTAAAATCGTGGCTCCTGGTGTGCTGACATTTTCAAGAAACACTGTATTTTTCCAACACTGGTCAGCCGACCAGCGTTGGAGAAAACTGGATTTTTTCAAAAACTGCTCCTAATTTTTTATATTTAGTTATTCCGCATTTTCTTTGCAGTTGATTACACACCTGTAAAGGGGTACAAGCCAGCTACACCGATTCTCTGAACTTACAATTCCCCCCAGTCTATAAATTGCTCCGTTTCATCTTAAGTGGAGTCAGGGAATCAGACTACAAGAACATGATTGGGTTTCTTGGTTTTTCCAGCATCTACAACCCCAAAACGTGAAATAAGTCAGTTTAACAATATTTGCTATACCATACTAAGCCTCCAAATCCATTTATTTCTGAAAATTGCAGCAAAAGCAAATGTTGTACATTCCTTTAATATTTTCCCCCAGAATGTATTTATGTGATTATTCAAGGCAAAGGAGTTATTGAACATGGCTATTCATATGGTAGGTACCCAAGAGATTCTGAAAAATTATTTATATTTTTTAGTAGGACACCTCGTCGTAAAAATAAATATAAAAAAAAATAAAAAAATTAAATCGCCCAGTTTCCGGACACTTCACAATACTGAATGGCTGCTGCTCGCTATGGCTAGTGCTAAGAGGCTTTTTCGGAAAGATTCCCATATCTGGCCATCACTAATGTTTTCCTTCAACGACTTATCAGCCATCAGAAAGTGATAATAATAATATGTCCTAAAAAGGGCGATCGTGAATTGAAGGGTCCGGTTCCTATAAGGGAACATTCCCCTTTAAAAATTATTAGACCTACCAAACTAGTTGGCGACATTCTCAATCAACAGGTATGTCATAGATAGAGGGCAGGGTTTTTTTTTTAGGGAAAAACATGCGACCAGAAAATCAAGATGGCGATCATCATGCGATGTACCGTGAGCACGCACGGTGTGCTGAATCGCAAGGCACAAACCGCGCAGGAAAATCATGTTTTCTACCCCTAGAATCTGTTCAGAATTGCAAAATGGGTCTCACTAGAATGAATTGAGAAAAGTCTGTTTTGATTGTAAAGGTGATTTTTGAGCAAAAAAAACATATTTTTGACTCTAATTCAATCAAAATAAAACAGGGGCCCTTCACTTCACGATCAACCTTAAAAGTCAAATTTAGCAGGGAATTTATTGGGGTATTTACTGAGAAAACACACATTTTCAGACCAGTCTCATTCTGCACAGGATGACATTGACAAGTGGCCGGATACGGGAATCTTTCCATTCCAAAAAGAACATGCTTAGGGGGAGTTAGGGTCCTGCTTTTTGAAGAAAAAAAAGGAAGCGGGAGGCCCTTGTTTCTCTGTCCTCCAAAATGGTCGCCCGACAGGGCTATTTTTTAAGATGGCTGCCATTTGGGTTTTTTTTAAAATGGCTGCCATTAAATTCAGAAAATTACATACCAGCTTTATATCGAAATGTGTTTATAGCTCCATGATGCAACAGATACAATGCAAGAGGCCAAAATTTAAAAAAAAAATGGTTAAAAAAAGAGAGAAAAAAAATAAAAGGAGCGAAAGGAGGCAGCCTCCAAAAAGGAAGCAGGCAGAGACGCTTAATATGTTTTTGTTTTTAATTTTTTTATTTGGCCTAATTTGTTCCCCCCCTCCACTTTGAAAATTTCTGTGAAGGTTTTGATTGAGTAGAAAATGAGGGTTTTTTTACTGATTTTATCGGCATTGCTGTTTTATACATTTACATATTTTTTTTACATTTTGTACATCATACATATAAATTTGATTGTTGACATTTTTTCTCAATTGTTTTTTTTTTTGCAACTGTGGGCGCATCCATCAGTGCGGATGAAAGGCGCTGAGGCAGACTGGACGCCCATACAATGCACAGACAGGGAGTGTAGCCACTCCTTGATGAAGGCTCCGCATCTGCACTGTCCATTCTGCTCCCAGGACAGTCTCTTCACTGATGAGATTCTCCTCAAGGCGCACTACAGGGTTAAGCACGTGGATAAAGGCATCAACTTTGGGGGTGAGTTTGCATTTGGGAACAAGACCAAGCGCTCGCATACTTGTGACTGGATCCCCAGAAATAAGTCTTAGGTTTTGAAAGGAAAATGTTTTCACTTTCTCTTCACAAGTCATGCTACAAGATGACTTGTGGTCCATGTTTGTGAAAATGTTTGTGAGTGAATTAAGATAAGTTGAAGGTAGTGGACAGCAGGACAAGATAGTGGCATTTGTGGAAGTTTTATGAAATTGACAGATACCTGGGCTGGTTATTCTTAGCAGATACCAGTGTTTGATAGACTCAATTGTCACAGGCCATGCCCAAGCGCCGGCTGTGTCTCAGGAAAAACTTTGCATCCGGCCTGCCTGAACAAGAGTCCTAACTCAGGTCAATAGCTTACTTGTGCCTCTTACAGCAAGAGAACCATATAAAAAGATCCATAGTTCTTTTTTTTTCAAAGTGCATATGGCTGTCAGCTTTTGTCAAAATTGCCAAACCAATCCTCTACTGTATTCCTCCCCAGATCTTAAAATGTTGCGGTGTTGAAGATCCTGCATCGTCCACGGCATCATTCACGGCCTACGTCCCCTGCTGGGATGGCGAGTGTGAAGATCTACTTTGCACCCATAAAGAAGCAACGACCAACGAAGACAGGGATGAAGCAGCCACTGATCTTTTCGGTAGGCTAAACGAGAAACGTAGGCAGAGATGGACAGAGACTGTGGAATCGATCAATTTCACCCATTCCAGCTGTCGGGCATGGCAAACCATCAACAACTCACGGGTAGGTCCACAACCCCAACACAATGTCCAATTACTGCAAATTCCATCGCATCTCAGTTGTTGAGCAAGGGTCACTTCCCCTACGTGGACAAGAACTTTACTAGAGCCACGTCGGCGAGAGTCAAGGAGCTACACCATGCGCAGGGGTGTGATCAAAACCTTTCAGGCGACTTCACGGCACACAAACTCCAGTTGGCCATCCAACGGCTAAAGACCGGCAAGGCTCCAGGCTGTTTGCCACGCATGCCCACAAGCTGCTCACGACATCGGCAGACGTCTCTAAGGCCGCCTGGGTAAAAACCAGCTGGAGAGTCCGGTAGACCTCAGCAGAACTACCTAGGCTACACCACTTCATAAACGACCCTATGTCTGGTCAAGACCTCCCACGAAAGCAGTGGACGACCCTCAACCGTCCGAGGGCTGGAGTCGGACGTTATGGTGCATCCATGAAAAGCTGGGGACTGGCAGACAGCACTTCCTGCGACTGCAGAGAACCAATCCAGACAGTAGACCACATCATCACCGCCTGCCCAAAACACCGGCCGCCTGATCAACCTGGAGGATGACACACTGGCCTGGCTCACCCTGACAGAGCTGCAAGTCTAAGGACATACATGTACGACAGAAGAAGAAGTCCTAAATTAACAACGCAATCTTCAGGTGTGTTCTGCGCGACATCACGCAGTACCACGAATGCGCGCGCCAATCTCCATAAAAGGAGTTGTGTACATCTTACTTGCAGGCTGGACACTCCATTATTTAGCTATAGATGAAAAAGGGGTGTTTAAAAAACATGAAGTGAATTTTTGTGAACAAAAGCAGGGTTTTTTGACCAAAAAGTATTTATGAATGGGAATAAATATGTGCTTGGTCGGTATTAATCACTCTGTTTAAAACTGGTTGGAGTCTGGGTGCTGATAATTATCGCACTTTCGGCTCGGATTAAAACCGACCAAGCACACATTTGTTCCTTTTAAACAGTAATAAGCTGATCAATGTTTGCACATGTGGTTAAACTACCATGGTTCACTCAGAAAATGTTGTAAATTCCTGATGCTTGAATTCCTAAACTCATTGGACTTATTTATAGCTTTAACCATAACAGAACTCAACCCATCAAACCCCAACGACATGTTTTGTTGGAATCTGTCAGGATGGGTACAGTACCCCTAAACTGACAGTCTTTTACATTGGGTTGGCACACCTCCAGAATCAAAGTCAGAAATATGTGTGTGTGCAGTTTCCCATATGGTGTTGGAATTTGCCAGGATGGGTATGGTTCCTAGTAAATCATGCTAGGGATTTAGGGTCAAAAGACTCTCTGAAATAAATTTCACAATCAAACATTTGACTCAAGTATCCATTCTTTTGAGAATGAT